TTATCGGGTCGTTCCCCAAGCACAAGACTAGTGTGGATGAGATTCTCATGGTGGTCGACCGACTCACCAAGTTCGCCATGTTTTTGCCTTGCCGCTATCATGCCAAGGCACCGGAGTTGGCCAAGGTTCTTTACGTCGGTTGGATTCGAACCAAGGGTTACCCCAAGGAAATCGTCTGCGACTGCGACACTCGTTTCATGTCCGATTTTTGGTTGGTGCTCATCAAACGATGGGGCTCATCTCTCAAGCCAAGTTCGGCTCGCCACCCCCAAACCGATGACCAAACTGAAAGGGCGCATCAGACCGCACAGGTTCTCCTTCGCACTCTCATCCGGCCCGACCAAAAGGATTTGGTTGAGCAGCTGCCAGATGTCGAGTTGGCATACAACTCGTCCATCCACCCGGCTATCGGGATGTCGCCCTTCGAGTTCGAGCACGGCTCGCCGGTCAATTCTCTGTTGGACGCAATCATTCCACGGGCGGCCGAGAGCGACGACCATCTTCTCTTCATTCGTCGGATGCAAGAGCTCCTTGTCAAGGCACAAGGGCCTACAGGCCCCGTGTCGTTTCAGCCTGAAAGCCTGGAAACACGAGCCTACAGGCCCTGTGTCGTCTCAGCCAAAATCAGGGCCTTTCCAACCCCAAGTCTTTTCAGCCTGAAACTGAGGCCATCTTTAGGCCCTCATGAGTTCGGCCTGCCCCGAAACTCAGGCACCAAACCAGGGTTTTAGCTCAGGTCATTTTTGGCCTATTTTCAAGACAACCTTCATTTGAGCTTCAACCCCAGGGTTTGGCACGTTTTGGCATTGGCAAGAGCAGCCTCCTGGACGGGCCAGCACTATAAAGGACTGGCCCGCCCTGCAGGCTGTAGGTAGTTCCTAGGTACCTCCCAGGCACTTCATGTGCAGTTCATGAGGCAGGAGGTAGTCTTCAGGATTCGGCAGCAGCACTCTGGAGGAGCGCTGCAGGAGTAGTAGTAGCGTTAGCAGTAGTCTTCAGCGTTGGGCGCTAGCAGCGTTAGCTGTAGTCTTCAGCATTGGGCGCCATAGCAACTAGAGTAGAACTATAGAGGGAGAGATTGGGCAGAGGCCAGGGGGACTTACCTGCAATGCCATCGCTCCAGCTTCGTCTTCAAGGTACCTGCAGCACAGCGCCACCTTCAGAGGTTAGTACCTTGCATATGCGAGAGAGAGAGTTCTTCTTCCTCTTCTCAGTCCACCGTCTCCCTCTCACCCGCTCGTTATCTGACTTCACTGCATCAGCAGACTATGAGAGAGAGAGAGAGAGAGAGAGAGAGAGAGAGAGAGAGAGAGAGAGAGAGAGAGAGAGAG